TGACTAATAGTGAAGTGTTAGTAAATTACTACTAAGGGAATGCATAGGGATATCTGACGCACAACTACCCGCAGCTGTTCATGGGAAATTACAATTGGATCGAATATTTTGTGATCGTTTGAACGTTCCTGATACAAAAATAGTACTGTATATATGAGTATCTAGGCAAGCCTCACACCTGGCTTGCATCTATATGGCGATATCAATCAAAGCGAATCGTAATCGGACGTGGAAGCTCTGTAGAATGTTCATGCGTGCACCAATGGCAATGATAAACTGCACGCATGCACGATGTTTAGACGCAAACTATCTTAACTACTACCTAACTTCTCTACTACTACGTTACACTACTACTGCTACTTATATACACAATTTATGTCATATGTGTTCTGCAGACTGCAATAGCAATACCCATTATAGAACATTGGCTCATTCATATGCGGCATATGATATGCTGTTGAGTTTTGTACCGCTTTACCTGAAGCAGTGTGACTTGTGTTCGTTATTTTGCTATGTCCAGTGGCGAAGTCATTCTCAAGTTCCAATACGGAACGCTTTTCTTTTCTATCGTTGATATTGACGGTCAAATTCCGTCCACGCTCCCCCACTCTATAGTTCACAGAATCTGGGTGTATACTTGAACTGTATGGGAATAGCCACGGATATGATATTCGAGACACCGAAGTTCAGCAATCGTTGATATTGACGGTCAAATTCCGTCCACGCTCCCTCACTCTATAGTTCACAGAATCTGGGTGTATACTTGAACTGTATGGGAATAGCCACGGATATGATATTCGAGACACCAAAGTTCAGCAATCGTTGGTATTGACGGTCAAATTCCGTCCACGCTCCCCCACTCTATAGCTCGCAGAATCTGGGTGTATACTTGAACTGTATCAGAATAGCCACGGATATGATATTCGAGACACCAAAGTTCAGCAATCGTTGATATTGACGGTCAAATTCCGTCCACGCTCCCCCACTCTATAGTTCACAGAATCTGGGTGTATACTTGAACTGTATGGGAATAGCCACGGATATGATATTCGAGACACCGAAGTTCAGCAATCGTTGATATTGACGGTCAAATTCCGTCCACGCTCCCCCACTCTATAGTTCACAGAATCTGGGTGTATACTTGAGCTGTATGGGAATAGCCACGGATATGATATTCGAGACACCGAAGTTCAGCAATCGACGATATTGACGGTCAAATTCCGTCCACGCTCCCCCACTCTATAGTTCACAGAATCTGGGTGTATACTTAAACTGTATCAGAATAGCCACGGATATGATATTCGAGACACCGCAGTTCAGCGATCGACGATATTGACGGTCAAATTCCGTCCACGCTCCCCCACTCTATAGTTCACAGAATCTGGGTGTATACTTGAACTGTATGTGAATAGCCACGGATATGATATTCGAGACACCGAAATTCAGCAATCGTTGATATTGACGGTCAAATTCCGTCCACGCTCCCCCACTCTATAGTTCACAGAATCTGGATGTATACTTAAACTGTATCACAATAGCCATGGATATGATGTTCGGGACACCGAAGTTCAGCAATCGTTGATATTGACGGTCAAATTCCGTCCACGCTCCCCCACTCTATAGTTCACAGAATCTGGGTGTATACTTAAACTGTATCAGAATAGCCACGGATATGATGTTCGAGACACCGAAGTTCAGCAATCGACGATATTGAAGGTCAAATTCCGTCCACGCTCCCCCACTCTATAGTCCACAGAATCTGGGTGTATACTTGAACTGTATGGGAATAGCCACGGATATGATGTTCGAGACACTGAAGTTCGGCAATCGTTGATATTGACGGTCGAATTCCGTCCACGCTCCCCCACTCTATAGCTCACAGAATCTGGGTGTATACTTGAACTGTATCAGAATAGCCACGGATATGATATTCGAGACACCGAAGTTCAGCAATCGACGATATTGACGGTCAAATTCCGTCCACGCTCCCCCACTCTATAGTTCACAGAATCTGGGTGTATACTTGAACTGTATGGGATAGCACGGATATGATGTTCGAGACAC